GAGGCCCAAATCATGCGTCAATTTCTTACTCAACTTCTGCCACGTGGATTCCTTGAAAGTCACAAGACTTCGTTCATGCCTTAAGATCACAGGACACACCTTCTCCAAGGCCAGTTTTCACTAGCTGACTCTCAATATAAAATTTAAAAGTATTTTCCTGTTCTAATCTCTTACCCCCTGGCTATACTGTGCTTAGGAGAATCAATCTACAAAGCCTTTGATAGCAGAAATACAGTTTTATGCTGACCATTTCCCCTAGGTCCCATCAGTAGCTCTCCTCAAACTACTTAAATATGCACTCTACATATGGGTAAAGGATCACAACTGCAACCTACTAGATTCCCAAATCCTGGGAAACGACTCCAGCAGCTTCACAGACCCAAAGGCTGAGTCTGATTCTTGATGCTGTGCTGGGCCTTTGAGAATCCAGTAACTCCTAAATCTCGGCAGCATCTGCCTCTCTTCGTGCCAGTATTCCGAGCTGGGCAGTCTCTTCTTGAACTCTTTCTCCAACCTTCCCTGTCTGCCCATCTCTGGAGTCAGTTTTGATAAGACTTGGCCACGATGGGTAAGCCTGGGCCAGGCAGCTTTGTTCTTCAGCTGAAATAGAATTATCTTCCATTTCTGCTGCATAACACCTAGACACTAATGATTTAATACTGTTAAAAGTGCACAGCACCTGGGATGAGCGCGCAACCACGCTGCCAACCGTTATGTTACATCTGTATAAATACAAGGCATGTACTTTTAAGGGAATGACAGTGAGAAACTTTAAGCTTAATGGAGTCAATTTAGACACCAACTAGAATGAAGGCGGCATGTTTTTATGAAGACAGCAGAAGGTGTACCGCTCAAAAAACCAAAAGGGGGAGTTAAGATTACAAACCCCCAGGGAAATGAGACCATCACCTAATGCCCAAGGGGAGAGTTTGCAGGAGATTCTGTCTCCCCAAAACTTATAGCCCTCACGTACTTAGATTAACACTGAGTTTTTTCAGAGTCTCACACAGTACTTTGCAGATCACCTGTCATTGCCCAAATGACACTTTAGCTGTAAGCAGGCCTACTGCTTAAGCATTCAGAATCCATTCATTAGTGCAAGCATGTACTGGGTACCAAAAACTTGGATCCCTGGGCTTTCAAGATAAACCACAGCCTTCTGTAACACAGGTTCTGGTGTTTTCTTCATCGGTGATGGAATAGAAAACTAGTCCCCCCTAGTGTCCTGCCACTGTACAGAGCGGAAGGATGGAGGCACTCCTGCATCAACTTTCAAGCACGACTCAGGATCCCAGAACCACAGGAAACCTTCGCTTCCTTCCCAAGGGGTGGAAGCACTCCTGGGACCTGCAATGATATGGAAAAACCTTGCATTTCATTCCTGAGGCCCTTCTAAGCTATGTTTTAAAAAGGCAAAGGAATCTGCATTATCCCATGTCAAAAAGTTAACCCCCAACCCAGCACACTTCATTCAGTGTTAGCCATACTTGCTAGCAACCTCCACTTATCCCAGAGCAATACCATCTTTTCTTTAAAAACCTCTCTATCCCACTAGGGAGATTTATTTTCTTTCCCTACCATTCTCAAAAACCCACTAAGAGCTAAACCTGGACAATTTTGCCTCTCTGTTTCAATTAGTTTTCTTCCCGGGATGGAATTAACAGGGCCAGGCTCGATAAATGTGTGCTCTCCGCAAGCAATTTTCACTAAAGTGTAAAGTACTCTTGAAAAATAAAGGTACACTAAAAGACGTGTGAAACCTTCAAGCCAGTTTGTTTTTTTTTAGTCCTCAGCAAGGACTCTCCATGCCCGCGAGTAATTCATTCATGTCACCCATTTGTGAGGGATGAGAGAAGAAACCTCCACGTGTTCCTGTCCCAATTTAGAATCTTCCTTTATCTTAAGTCTATCAAAGCTGACTCCTGGGGTGGGAAGGAGGCAGGAGAGGTGAGGAGGAAAATTAACCTGGTGTGACTGCCGGCAGGGAGTGAATAAGCACTTTGGGTTTTCACCTGTGTCGAAAAGGGTTGGCACCTGCCTTTAGCGAAGAGGAATGCCCACCTGGTGCCCCTTCCCCAGTCCCACTCCCACGCAAGAAGGAAGCTGGCACCACAGCCCACTCTGGGGGCACTTACATAAGACCCTGGAAAACTTCCTGTGACATTCAGGCAGAGTGTAAGCTGCTATCCTGCTCCCTCGGGGGATCATTTTAATGGACTGAGTGACAAAATTCACAGATTCAGAAATGGGCAAAAACCTGCTCAACTGAGGTACATCAGTTCAGGGATAAAAAAAAAAAAATCCATCCCCATTAACAGGGTCACCCGGGGGGACATATTCAGGGCAGGAGAGACAATCTGCTCCCTCCTAGGTGACCCATTTAAAATCAGATCGTTCCAAGGGAAGCTCACAGATTCAGTAAATTTCACACAGGCAAGGGTAGGCTGGCGGGGACTGAGGTTCCTTAAGAGGAAAATTTCAAAGAAGGTGCTAAGGCAGCAAAACAACTTAAGAATGCACAAACTTTGGAGTCATTCCACCCTTCAGAAACAATGACTTTCACAAGACGGGATCGCTACCCAGAAACCACCCCTCACAAGCAGGTTTGTCTAACAGATGCTACCACTGTCACCCAAACCGCTCTGTCCAATCGAGGGACTGACTCGCGGTCTGTGGCTCTCACCCCAAATCGGCCTCGACTGCAACATGGAGCAAAGAAAAGTTCTTCACAGCATCACGCCTGGAAAGGCAGGTGGGGATCGCCCAAAGGGACAGCTTCAAATACAGCAGGTTCCCCTAAAGCACAGATGCTCACAGCTAACAAGCAGCATGGGGAAGGGGGAGGGGACAACACCTCCCGGTGTTAACGGGAAATTCCTCCTTGCTCCCAGTTAGCAGCCCGAGAGCCTAGGAGCAGGGCAGGCCCGGGGACGAGTCCTAGAGGACTCCAGAAACTCGGCGACTTCTCACTCCAGCCTCTCCAGGGCTCTGGGCCCAGGTGGCAGAGGGTGTTCCCTCCCTCCCTCCCTCTTCTCCAGCATCCTGAGCAGAGGGAGTACCAGCCACAGGTCGGGAGAACTTGTCCGGCGCCGCTCACCAGGGAGCCCCCGCGCTGGCTCTCTCGCACCCCCGGGGTTCCTACCTTGTCCGTGACTGCCGCTGGGCAGAGGGAGACCGCGGAAGAGCCGGGTGGCTAGGCGGCGCCGCCGCCTACGAGGCGCAGGGGTTCTGGGTCGGGGTCCCAGCAGGCGCTGCCCGAGTCCGAGCGGCGGTGCCAAGCGCAGACTTCGGGGCAGCCCCCGCCTCGGAAGGCGGCGGAGAGGGTCCGGGCCGCCCGAGCTGAGCACCGTTTCTTCTTCCGCTCCCTTGGACACTGCTGCCTGGAGCTGCTCCCTGCCCCCCGGACTCTCCCGAGCCGGGGGCGCCCCGCATGGGATGGGGCCTGGGTCTGCCTCGGGCTGGGTCCGGGGAGGTGGCGCTGGGGAGAGACGCGGGGCGGCCGCCGGGGCCGGCTCCACCTCCTGCGCTCCCCGGAGCCGCTTCGCCCCTTCAGGGCATCGGGGGCGGGGCCAGTGCCCGCCTCGGCGCCCGCCTCCACCCCGTGACGGCGGAACCGGCCAATCGCAGGCGCCTCAGCCTCTCGGACCGAGCGGCAGCCCCGCGCCGAGGCTCCGCCCCCGGACGAGGCTCCTCCCTTCTACTTCTTCTGCTCTCTCGCACTCAGGCGGAAGCAACACCCGGAGCCGGGATTCTGGCCCGGGCCGGGCTGAAAGGGTGCAAGCTGGGAGCTCCCCGCCCTTCTCCCTCCCCAGCCCGGCCGCTCCCGGCCGCCTCGGGCTTGGCGAGCCTCTCAGAAAGAGGGGGAAGGGAAGCGGGACGGGTCCGCAGCTGCTGCCGTAGAGACTCTTGTTGCAAGCTCGCAAGGCCGTGCAGCCTGTCCACGCCTGCTTGTACAAAGCAGCCGTCGTGGGAAGTAGGAAGTTTCCCCGCCTCCACTTCTTGGGTCGCCGCTCTTCTCGAAGGTGGGCAGGATATGGGACAGGCTGAGGCTGCAAGAAGCCACGTTGAAGGGCTTTGACAGCATCATTTGGAGCTACGTATTCAAAAATCCGGTCCAAGGTTCCCTATTCTTTGGGGAAACTGCATTTCTTTGCCCCCCCCCCCCCGCCCCCAACGCTACACACACACCCTATGCAAGCACAACACGCCCCCTCCCTGTTCTGATTTCATTCTTGCTCTTTCCCTCTCGGCAAAAGAATCCCGAGCGCAGGATCCCATTGAATGGACTTCCAGTCTCCCAATCCTAAAGACCAGCGTGGGTCGCCGAGACTTCTCTATAGGAAGGAAAGGGTGAAATCGGCTGGGCCGGGGGTTGGGGGACGGGGGAGACGATGAGGGTGGCTGGAACGGGGAGGCCCGGAGAGAAAACCCAGAGACGGAGAAAGCAGACAGGGAGAAGGATGGACAACTCTGGGAGCCCGGAGCTCCGGCGCGCGATCCAGCTCCTGGGTTTTTCCTCAGCTCGGTCCCAGGGCTTCTGGGGTCCCCTTCCCCCCAGGGTCCCCACCTCTCCCCCCGCCGGGTGGGCAACGGGTCTCTGCCTCGCCTCCGCGCGGCGCTCTTTTAGCCTAGGTTTCAGAGAAGGTAGCGGAAAGCCCACCCTAGTCCTTGGAAGAGGCAAGGAAAGGAGGCAAAAAGAGAAAGTGCAAGGGTGGGGAAGGGAGTGGGTGCGTAAGCAAAGGACGCTGAGCTCGGGCTGCCGCGCTGACCACGTTCTCCAGAGGTCAGGCTGGGAACCCAAGGGCTCCGGAGGTTTGTCCCTCGCTCCACTCCGGAGCTGACTCCTGCCTCAGTAACCCTAGTCATCTCCAGGACCCTTCCCCCCACCCGCTCCCTTCTTTCCAGCCTCTTGTAGCAAAGACTCCCCAACCCACCCACCCCAATTTACACCGCGAGCACCACCACCACCCGCTCTTGCCCAGCTCCGGAGCGCAGTTTACCTAATCTCTGTGGCCACCGAGCCGAGGAGAATGCGAATAGAAGGTAGTGTTTGCACAGCAGCGGTCCCGGCGAAGGAGTAAAAAAGCGTTTGCATTGGAGCTTCGGGATAAGTTAACTACGAAGCTGGGGTCCTGTTGTCTTCTCTCCGCGGGGACGAGTCTGACCCTGCACATTTGCAGGGATAGGAGATCTTATCTGGTTTTGATGCCATTACCGTGTCGGAGAACATTAAATGCTAAAATATTATCTAATATCCTTAGAGGCCATTAAAGTGTCAAAGTTTAATGCCAAGCCTTTTAGCTCGAAAAGCTGCTCCTCTCTTCCTGTGACGTGCAGCTCTGTTCTAGAACGCGCTGAAAACAAGGGGATCGTTTTTATTTTTTGCGGCCGACTGTCCTTGTTTCCTCCTACTCCCCCCTAGTCCAACCCCCGACCCAGAACCGGGTAAAGTTAAGGCAAGAATTTGGGCTTTCTTTTTATTAATTGCTTTGCTTCAGTTCCTTAGTGGTGTAAAATACATTGTTACATTAGCATATGAATAAGAGTAATGTGACTGACAAAGGAGAGACCTGAAATTTACAAGCAAAGGGGAAAATAATAGAATAACATCAGAAACTAAAAGATAAGCATGTGGGAAATAAACATCTCCATTATAATTACTCCAATGTAGTGAATTCTTGAGATCGGATTTTAGAAAGAAAAATATGAACATGATAGGGGAGGGAATAATAGTCACCTTGGTCAGTAAGTTTCATTCATTATTAGGGATTTCACAAAAATTACTTGCATCAGTCAGTAAGCACCTTAAACATGTAAAAGCTTTCCTCTGTCAATTCAGTTTTGCAGTGTTTTAAAGTCAGTGAAATATCTAATACTGTAAATGATAGGAATGTTGCCAGACTGAATTATTCCACAAACTGAACCCTTCTGTTAGTTAATATCATATCAAACCCCGCATTTGAAGAATTCCTTCTCCCCCCCAGTGGGAGATTTTAGCTATACCTGTATCTATATCTTTATCTCCAAAAGTAGGATGTACTTGCCTATGAATTATAGCCCTTTGACACAAACCGGATATAAATGTCTTCAAAGGATTTCAGCTATGATATAGTATGAGGAATGCAGAATAGAATAGGTAAGGTGATATATCTGTTATTTCTAAGGAATCTCCACTGCTTTTGCTAAGAGCTGAGAATTGAAAAAAATATTGAGCCCTCTAAACCGACTGTTATCTATTTATCTCCACACTGTTATTGCATCTGTCACAGGAGAGATTCAAAAAGGTCTCTTTTCAAAAAAAAAAAAAAAAATCAGGGTCAAGGAGATCTAATCATAAGAAACCTATTTCAAAATAGCCACTAGGGGGCCCTAAAAGCATCTCAAAGAGGAAGGAGAAAAACCTGCTCTCACCTCTGTTTTTCCAGGTCTTATTTTCTGGATACTAATGAAACTGGAATCTAAAAACAGGGTAGGAGCCTGGTGCAAAGTTTGGAGGCAAATTGAGCATTACGTCTTAAAAGACCAGAGTCTCATTTTGACTGACGAGTGAAAAATATGTGCCCCACTCTGCTTGCCTCCAAAAAAATACAACAGTAAAAGGAATATTGCATTCATTGAGATGAAAGTGGCCAGATAGTCTTACCCACTTTAAGTTGACTCAGTTATTTTTACTGTTCCAAAGAGAACCTCCCTTCTAAGATTGTTGGGCTGTTTTCTAAACGCTTTGAATGTTCAAGTGATAGGTAGCAAGATGAATGAATCCTCACAGGGGCGACATGAAAAAACTTTAAGCAACCTATACGGCAGAGCATCCACCAGCCAACTTATGGAAAGCCAGCTAGCCATAGGGGCACTAGCAATAACCAAAGTCCTGGAAGTGAGGCAGGAGATAGACGGTCCCCAGGGTAAGCAGCTGAAAACTGTCCCCTGTGGACAGACACTCCAAGATAAAGGTGATGACAGGAGTGAGGAAGAGCTGAGTCCTGCTTGAATAAAAGATAAAGAAACCATGTATTTCTCATCCTCCAGGTCAAGGAGACCTCCTTGACTACACATGCGCAGAAAGTCTCCTTAGGGGTCAAAAGGGAAGGGTGCCAACCAGTAAGGGATGTTGTCAACCTTCCCATAGGCCTCTATGCTGGAATCCTTCTTGGCTAAAAGATGTGCATGCATGCCAAGGAGGGACCTAAGACAAGTCAGATGTTGTGAAAGTAATGAGATAATTGGCCAAAGGGAAACACAGGCCCAGAAGAAGTGCTCTATGTAAGTAATTGGTCACCTCGCTGGGGCTCTCCTCCCCATTAGGGAGGATACCCACACCCTTTTCTCTCCGGGATGCATCTCTGCCTTGCTTCTGTTTTCAATAAACTGTTTCTCTGTGCCCTCTCTGACTTGTTAGGCTATGTCTCTAATAATTAACTTTTTACTTGTTTTTACAGTTTTTGCCTGCTTGAAACATTTTTGCTTTCAAATGGAGCAAAAGCCAGGGAAACTTTGCCTCTTGCCTCTGACCCTTGCTGGTCTAGTGGCTAGGATTTCTGGTTTTTTCACCCAGGCTACCCAGGTTCAATGTCTGGGCAGGGAACTAAGATCTCACTCCAAGTCATTGCTCACTGCTATCTCCTTGAGATCAGAAGCACCTGGAAGGCCAGGTATTAAATCTTTAGTGGATTTAATGGTGAGATTGTAGAGGTGGGAGGAAGGTGGAGGTTCTTTGAGGGGAAGCCAGTGGCTGCTGGGGTGGTGAGGCAGGGTATAGCAGGAATGGTGGGGGAAGGGGGAGCTTACCTCTGGAAGCACTTAACAGCCAATGTGGAAGTATTTCAATATTTTAACAAATAATGTTTTATTTTTCAAAACAACTGAATATCAGCATGACCACACATAAAGTTGCCCCCAATTTTTCCTAGACTTTAATATCTAGCAATCACATTTTCAGGGCTTCCAAATCCTTAGCTGTCACATAATGTATTTCCCACATCTTCCCAGTAAATAAGGTTAAGATGTCTTTTATGAGGATCAAAAATCAAACAGTGCTCAGGTTGCACATATATGGAAAAGCCTGATTATCCTTTAATTAACCAGTACTGTAGAAATAATCTGCTGATACAACAGATGTCCTTTCCAGATACATTTCAGGTGTAAATTTAAGCACCATTTGTGATACTCTTCTGTTACTGAAGCCAGTATTCAAAAGACATTCCTGAGCCAAACAAAATGCCTCCATCAGGGATAAGCAGGGAACAGGCTACTTGCTAGCTAAAGAATTAAAGTGCACTGCAAAAGCCACCAAATTAACAGTAACCGAAGTGTGATGTGAACATAATTTCACAGAAAGCAAAGCAAGTCTCGAACTGAAACATGAGACAGGGAATGGGCATGAAGTCTTTCTTAGTGGAATGAAAAATAGTTTGCTTTTCCATCATCGTGTTCATTAAGTAAGGTACAGGTATTGTCAAAATAGCATTATTAAGATACAGAAAACTTGCCACTGAAAGCCTCAGAGCCAGCTAATGAGAACAAATTTGATTCTAGATGGAGAATCCTATTGTCTTTAGGAGAAAGAGTTCATTCACTCACTGACTGTGAAAATCCATTAGAGGAAAACCTTGCCAGGTATATAGCACCCTGATCACCTTATGACAAAATGCTGGGCTGGGGACCCAAAGCCCCCCTGAAGACAGGAAGGAAACATTAGTGCTAAAGAGACCAATTTAAAGTACAAGAGTAACAAATGGTCCTTTACTTAGGCACTAATTCATTATCCTTGAATTGTTTTAAGATGGAATGGAAAACACCCCACACTATTACTGTGGGTCATTACAAATGTGCACTTGAAAGAAGAGAATAAGAGAATAAAGAATAAATTTTGTGGAAAATCCTAATATGCTATTTTATCCACTGAGTTTAGATTAAATCTAGAGGCAGTGATAAATAAGACTTTCCTCAGTATTAAAGTGTTTTTCCTCAGTTTTTAGACTCAAGGGAGCTTCTGACTGAATCTCCTTTCTGGCCTTGATGATAAGTTTTTGAGAAAAATAATTAACTTTGTAAAAGAGGGAAAATTTTTTTTAATTTTTGGAAGGGAGAAGTATAGGAAAATTTATTATCACTTGTAATACAGATGATGACAAAGTGAAATAAAATACCAGATATTTTTGTACAATTTGCATCTTAATAAAATACACTTGGGTTAAAATAAATAAATAAATAAAGCATAGAGTGAGTTTTTCTCCTGAGATCATAGCCCCCATAAAGATAAGGGGACCTCAAGCTAATGGATCACAAGACCCTCAATAGAAACAAAAAAATTCAAACATTGGTAAAGAAACTGAAGTCCTGAAATAAAAGATTATGGCACATGCTTTTGGGGACTTTTAAGCAGAAAACCTCTACTTAAAAAGCTGTCATAGTTGTGTGGGTATATTTTATCACGTCTTGCTTTTATTCCCACTCTCTATCTAAGGGACTCATAGATCAGGACATCTCAAACCTTGATGTGCCTTTGGATCACCTGGGAATTTTATTAGAAGATTAACACAGATTCAGCAGGCCTGGAGTGGGGCCCAAAGTTCTGCTTTGGCATCTAGTTCCTGTCCATGGACCAAACTTTAAGGAGAAAGGCCGTAGAGGACTTCTGTTGGTAGTCAGCCACGTGCTATGTCCCCTTTCTTATCCCAAGGGAATTATGTTAGCAGGGCTCCCCAAAAAGGAAGCACTGAGAAAAGGGTTTAGGGGCAAGAAACTTATTTGGAAGCTTCAGTGAGAGGAGATGAAATAGGAATGGGAGGAAGACCAATAAGGGGTGAATCAATGAATTGTCAATGGTGCTCCTCTCGCAAGGACCCCCTCAGAGATTGTGTAGAATGTTGCTGTTGTTTAGTCGCTAAGTTGTGTCTGACTCTTTTTGACCTCATGGAATGTAGCGCTCCAGCACCCCAGGGACAGAGGGATTTCCCAGGCAAGAATACTGGGGTGGGCTACCATTTCCTTCTCCAGGGGATCTTCCCTAGCCAGGGATGGAACCCAAGTCTCCTGCTTGGCAGGAAGATTCTTTACCCCCGAGCCACCTGGGAAGCCCCTTGTAGAATGCCATTGTCGAAAACAAAACAAACAAACAAACAAAACAACTTATCTGTGATGAAAATGTTATATGCTTGCCCTTTTCAATATGGCAGCCACTAGCCATCTGTGAGTACTGTGCACTTGAATTGAGGCTAGTGTGACTTAGACACTAACTCTTTTATTTTAATATTCATCAGTTTACATTTAAAGAGCCACATGAG